AAAGAAGCTTTAGAAGATTTTTCAGATTATTGGGTTGTACAGTGGAAAAATTACCATCTCTTAGTAACTTCCTTCTTGGTTAGATTTATGCTCTTTACAAATACTACTAAAATGATTATGTCTCTTAAACATGTGATCCAGAGAATGAAGATCTAATCAAATGTTTACTCCATTTCCATTCCTTCAAGCATAGTTTTCAGTTGCTCAATGTATATTAGTCAGGAAGTGAGGGTCTTGGCTGTTTACTGGGAAGCAAATAAGAAGTTACGTCTTCACAAGTCTTATAGTTCAGTGCAAAAGACAGACACACATGTATAACAAAGCTATAATTAATAGGAAAATGAAATGTCTGGAAGAAAAGCAAAGATTAAATATATTTAAATGGAGATATTATGATGGTGATAGGAAAAATTAAGCTGATAGGTGAAAGACCTGAGGACATTATCACCTAAAGCAATAATGTAAATAAAGTTTCTAAGACAGGAAAAAAATAAATAAACTCTGCCTATTCTAAGAACTTAAAGAAGTTTGAGTTTTCAGAGAGTCTAGAAGGGAAAATGGCAAGAAATGAGCATGTCAAGATAAACAGAATATGCCCTTGATCTTGTAAAGCAAGAAAAGAAAAATGGGCTTTATTCAAAGTGGAATGGGAAGGAGCTATTCAATAGTTGTAAGCAAGTGAGATGACAAAATTGATTTCATACAATTTGCTACTACTACTACTTTGCTTGCTCATGTATTTATTTAGCAGGAACTTTTTAAAGTTTAACTTTATGCCAAGAAATGATCTTCACTCCTGGGATATGTTAGTGAACACAATGGAAAAAGTATCCTGCCCAAGAGGGGCTTGAATCTACAGAGAGGAGGCAGAAGTAAGTAGTAAGAAGCATCATAAATGAGCAAATAATACATTAGTAAATGATGGTGAAAACTTCTGTTCAAAACAGAAAGGATGACATAGTACAAGGATGATTTAGTCAGCTTTTTCATTGCTGTAACCACAAAGATCTGACGAGAACAATTAGAGGAGGAAAAGTTTATTTTGAGCTTCACAGTTTCAGAGGTCTCAGTCCATAGATGGCTAACTCCATTCCTTGGGTCCTGAGGTGAGGCAGAATATTATGGAAGAAGAGTGTGGCAGAGGAAAGCAACTCATGACATAGCAGTAGGAAGGAGAGAGAGAGAGAGAGAGATGGGGGTGGAATGGGGAGATACTCCTCACTACAGACAAAATATTTATCCCAAAGTCATGCCCCCAGTGACCCACCATCTCCAGCCACACCTGAAGCCCCACTACAGTTACCACCCAGTTAATCTCTATCAGGGGATTAATGCACTGATTTGGTTGAGAATCTCATAACCCAATCACTTCACCTGTGAAATTTCTTGTCTTTTACACATGAGCTTTGAGGGGATACCTCATAGATAAATCATAACAGAGGAGGAGAAATGGGAGGAAGGGGCAAAAGTGGCCAAGTCTACTCTTTGGGAAAATCACAATATTAGCTAGAATACTTTAGACTAAGCTTGAAGAAGTAAAAGTTGAGCAAAAATTTGAAGTAGGTAAGAGAATTAGCTAAGCAGATAACAGGGGGGAATGGCATTACAGAGAGAATATCTATAAAGTAGGACCATATCTGGAATTTACTAAGAGCAGCCAGGTGAGCATTGTGACTAGGCCAGAGGGAGTTAGGGAAAGAGCCAGAGGAAAGAAAGGTAAAAGGGAATCATATAAAATCACATAGACCATTAGAAAGACTATTAATAAAATGAGAAGCCAGTGTAAAATTCTGAAGAGAGGAAGACCATGAACTGTCATGTGTTTTCCACTTTTCCTGCATTGTTCAATATGGATAGCAAATGAGCCAATGTGAAATCATGAAGACCAGGCTAATAGCCTGTTGCAAGTCAGTTATGGCGGTGCATACCAGTGATCTCAGCTACTGGGGATATTGAGGCAGGAGGATCTCAAGTTCAAGACCAGGCTGGAACATTTAGCAAGACAGTGACTCAAAATAACTTTTAAAAAAGGGTTGTGGATGTATCTTAGTGGTAAAGAGTTTGCCTAGTATGCATGAGATAATGTCACACAATGGTGACAAAAAAAATAAAGGTTATTGTACATTAAAACAACAATGTGTTACCACTGCATAACAAACAACAATGAAATACCATTTATTTTGGCAAGAGTCCAGAATAGGGACTTTATCACATGCTGGAAAGGGTTTGGCAGAAAGTAGCTGGTAGGAATGTAAAATGGTACTTCCACTTTGGAGTATTATGATTTAGCTGTGAGGTATTGCCCAAAAGGTAATGTGTGAGATGCAGGAAAGAGTAGAGGTGAAATGATTGATTATGAGAGCCTTCACCTAATCAGTGTGTTAATCCACTAATATGAATTAACTGGGTGGCAAGTATAAGCAGGTAGTGTGTGACTAGAGAAGGTGGGTCATTGGGGGTATGCTGTTGGGATTTACATTGTGTCATGGTGAGAACAGTTCTCTCTCTCCTTCCTGGTGTGTCATCCTGAGTATCATTCCTCTACCACACTCTTCTGCCATGATGTTCTGCCTTACCTCCAGCCCTGAGGAATGGAGTTGGCTGTCTATGGACTGAAACCTCTGAAACCATGAGCCCCCAAATAAACTTTTCCTTCTCTAATTGTTCTTATCAGGTCTTTGGACACAACAACAAAAAGTTGATCAGAAGAACTTGGCAGTTTTTACAAAATTAAACATACCCTTATCATTCAACCCAGTGATCACAGTCCTTGATAGCTAAACAAATGAATTGAAAATGTCCATACAAAACCCTGCACACACATGCTTATAGTTTTGTTTACAATTATCAAAACTTGGAAGCAACTGAGATGTCCTTCAGTAGGTGAATAAACAAACTATGGCACATCTACATAATAAAATATTACTCAGCCCAAGAAATAAGCTCTCACACAAGGAAAAGTTATGGAGGGAATTTACATGCATACTATCAAGTAAGAGAAGCCAATCTGAGAAAGTTATATACTGTATTATCCCAACTATTTAATACTCTGAAAAGGCAAAACTATGGAGACAGTAAAAAGATCCTTGGTTTCCAAGGTTGGGGAAGAAAGAAAAAGTAGAATATGGAGTATGGAGGATTTTTAATTTAGTGAAATTACTCTATAAGAGACTGCAAAGATGGATCCATACCATTAAACATTTGTTCAAATCCATAAAATGTGTAACAACAAGAGTGAACCCTAATGTAAACCATGGTCTTCAGGTCATGCTATGCCAATTCAGGTTCATCGATTGTAACAACATATCAGTCTAGTGAAGGATGTTGATAATGGGGGAGGATACACATGTGTGAATCAGAAAGCAGGGGAAATCATTGTGCAATGTGCTCAATTTTGCTATAAATCTAGAACTGTTCTAAAAATAAAGTGTGTGTGTGTGTGTGTGTGTATCTCTATTTATTTATGTATATGAATGGATGGTCATTGGGATTGAATCCAGGGGTACTCTACCTCTAAGCTACCTCCCAAGCCCCTTTTCAATTATATTTTTGAGACAGGGTCTCCCTAAGTTTCCCAGGTTGGTCTCAAACTTGTGATGGTCCTGTCACAGCCTTGAGTTACTGGGATTACAGACATGAGCTACTGTGCCTGGCTGGAGTATATATTTTTGAAAAGCTATTACAGGAATTCAGGCAAAAGATAATGATGGTTTGGACCAGGGATTTAAGATGTAGAGATGATAAGTGGTCAAATTTTGAATCTATTTGGAGTGTTAAACCAATAAAACAATTAATTCAGATGTAGAGTGAAAAAGAGAAAAAAATGTTCCTCCCAAGATTTTTTGCCTGAGCAATTGGAAGAATGGAGTTGCCAATAACATAGATGAGGAAGACTACAGATCAAGTAGGTTTGGTACATATTGAGTTTTGGGGTTTCCAAAAGGAGGAAGCTACTGATATTGATTACACAAGTCTGGATTTTGAGAAAAATGTCTGGAGAAAAATATGAGTCGCTGATATACAGATAATATCAAAGTCATGAACATAATAAAATCATCAAGAAAGTATAGAGAAGGAATTAGCCTTAAGGCACTCCAATGCTGAGAATATTCTAAAATAAGAGTGACATAAATATGGAGGAAAACCAGAGACCTCAGTATCCTGTAAGCCAAATGAACAAAATGTAACAGAAAGAGAATCTTCAATTGTAACAAATTTTGTTGTTAGATTAAACAAGATGAGGTCTGAAAATTGACCATTAGGTTTAGCAATGTGTAGGATATTAGGTCTTCTCAGTAAGGCACATTGGATGGAATGGCATTGTCAAAGCAGGAGGGAAGGGGAAATCCAGATTGGAATAGTCTTCAAGGAAAATAGGAGGCTTTCAGGAAGTGAGTCATAAAGGATAGCTAATAAATGAAATTGGTGTCTGGCAAAATAAGAACAGATGTTTTATTTGTCTGCTTCAGTTAAGGTGGTAAAAAGAACAGCACATGTGCTGAGTTTTTTCCCTATGTTTTAAAGTTTTTTAAAAATTTTTTCCTAGTAGTTTTATAGTTTCAGAATTTTATTTAATTTTTTAATCTATTTTGAGTTGATTTTGTGTATGGTATGAGATCAGGGTGTGATTTCATTCTTCTGCATGGGAGTTTTCCTGACACCACTCATTGAAGGGATCATCTTTTCCCCATTATGTATTCTTGGCACCTTTACAACAATTCAATTTATCATAAACATTTGGGTTTACTCCTGGGTTTTCTATCATCCCACTGGTCAAGGTATCTGCTTTTATGTCAGTGATATATTGTTTTGATTACAATTTAGAATATTTTTTGAATATGTTTTTTGGAGTGTGATGGCTCCAAAAACAAATAAGAAGTTAATTAATGTTACCACAGGCTATTAGCATCAGGTGATGAGTGACAAATGGAGAATGGGGAGAACATATTGATGGAATAGATGAAAAGCTTAAGAGAAAGAAATAATTCAAGGACAATCTCTGAGTTCCTGGCTGTTTATTTAGAAATATCTGGGGATAAGAAGGCTTCTGTGGCAATAGTAAGAACTGTTTTGGAAATGTTTGGTTTGAGAGGCTTGTGAATAAGGCATTCAGGTGTTACTTCTGAAGCTCTGTTAACAGCACTGGGTTCAAGATACAAACTTTGCAACTGACAATATACAGGTAATATTTAAAACTGTGAAAATGGATGATCTCACATGAGTGAAAGTACACAACAAAGAGGAAACAAAGCTGTTAAACTCTTGAGATATTGCTAACATTTAAAAGTTGATTAGGAGAGAAGGAACCAGGATGTTCAATAAGGAAAAATTAGTTAAGAGAAGACCAGGATAGAGTATTGTAATATAGGTCATAACCACAGGCTTTCAAGCCCAATTTAAAAAAGGTGGTAATGGTAGCAAATAGCTAATGCTACTGAGGGGGCAGATAACTTGATGCCAATAAAGTATCCTTTGAATGTGGCATTACAGGGATGATTTGTAAGATAGACAATACTTAACTCCAGAGGAGTGTTGAGGACATGTTGCTGTGGGATTAAAAGGAAAATGAGGACTTCTACCCTGGCAAGCATTGGCTAGATATTCCATAGGCCCAACTGCTACAAACAAGTACATTCTCGAAAAAGCACATCTTCAATATTGTTTGGATTACAGAACATAAAGGAAACTCCCAAATCACAAGTAAAGAAACTAAAGCCAAAATTCTTACATTAAGCTTAGGTATCTGCCAAACTGGCCCTTGTTAGAGCTTTCTATATTTATTGCAGAAATAGATTCCCAGGTTTCCATAGATAAAGATCAAATACATGTGAACTCACAGATACTACAAAACATGTAAAGAAACTAACTGGCATGAGTGAGAAATCAATAGAATAGGTTTTAATTCCAAGGGAATTTAGATTCTGAATGATTAATTATCAAATAACAATGCTAAAAAATAAAAATGGAATCTCACACACACACACACAAAAGCAAGGTTATTAAATATGGCCATGCAGATATGGGAGAATGAAAGCTAAATAAAGTTTTGAAAAAAAATGGTGTCGAAAATTAAAACGTATGGTTTAAATATCAGATAGATCATGCAGAATTGCCAAGACTGTATCAAAACTAATTTAGGATTACAGGAATGTGGATATGACAAAGAAACCCTGAAATGGTGATCTGGATGAGAAACAGTGTAGATAATAGTGTACTTCCTCCCCTGTAACAGAATGGGATATACAAGTAAGCTGTTTTACCTCTGTGGACGTGTGACTTCATCTTTGAGTCTATAGCAGTTGCTCCAGTCATCTTCAGCCATGATTCTAGGTGGCTTACTACACTTTCCAGCCTACTAAAAGGGAAAATAGAGCATGATGAACAAAAGACTTCCTATTTCTAGGGTGTGAGTTGTAAGTTGTACATATTTCTTCTCCTTATATCAAAGTAGCCAAAATCTAGAGTTGGTATATGTAACTGCAGAAGAAATTTACTTTCATGTAGGGTGGCCATTTCTAACTAAAACCTGGGGGGTAGGATATTATTACTACAGAGAAAATGGAGACATGGGCCTGGATAATAATAGCAATTTCTGTAGTAGCACAAAGTCTATTGGTGAAAGGAGCCAGGAAAGAAAGCTAATAGGATAGAAGAGTGGTATGAGGAATTCTGATATAGTCTGGATAAGTCACAGGAGAGATTATAAAATGTGGAGGAAAGAAAACACTGGGGGGAAATTGCTGAGAATTGTTCAGAACAGAGAAAAACAAAGTCCTTAGAAAAATAAAACACAAACATATATAACATACAAGCAAAAAAGAAATTCACAATTAAATACACTGTACTGACTACAAACACCGAACCAAGAAAAAAGAAAACAGAAAGAGATCACTTACAAAAGAACTATTAAGTATACTGACAATATCCTGCTTAATATCAACAATAAACATCTGAAAAAAGTAAATATACTCTAGTTAACTTAGAAACAGATACACATCAAAACTACCTTCTAACATTGACAAAGATGTTTGTGTACAAAAACTAAAAATGGTTGTCACCAAGACATTTTCTCCAAGGAAATTTCTGAACAACAAAAAAGATGTCAAGTAAACCAAGGCCAGTATTAATATCTGAGGAAACAAAATTTTAGGATTTATACAATCACAGAACAAAACTGCTAAAAATGTAGGTAAATCAAAACACTTTTCTGCATAAAATATTAATTATATTGTTCTCATTTGTTGGTTTTTTTAGAATAAAGAACAAAACTCAAAACACTGGAAAATAACTTGTGAGTTTGGGATAAACAGTAGACTTAAGTCTATTATATCATTTAGAAAGGGGATTAAGATATTAAATAGCTTCAGATATTTTTAAATTAAATATGATAAAAGTTTTGAGAGTAAAAGCTCAGGTGTGGAACATCCCAATTGGTAGAGGGGAAAATAGAATAAGAAAATAAAAGAAACAATTTAGTAAAGCAAAAACAGCTGAGAAATAAAACATAAGAGAAATCAAACAAATAAACTTTTTAAAACTTTAGTTGTAGATGGACACAATAATTTTATTTTACTTATTTATTTTTATGTGGTGCAGAGGATCAAACCCAGTGCCTCACACATGCTAGGCAAGTACTTCACCTACTACTGAGACACAAACCTATCCCAAAACAAATAAACATTTAATAGGATGAACCACAAAATAAATATTTCTGGATTTTATAAAGTTTTCCGATATTTTCATGTTTATTTACTTCTTTCATCTTTTCTCCTATCCTATACATGCAATCCTAAAGAGATATGTAGGCTATTAAATTCAATAGGAACTTTACAAGTACTTAATATTTTTTAAAATATAAGAAAATGTACTGATTAAGGTTCCAATGCTGATTTTATTTATTCAAACATTAGGAGTACATAAAACACATGCCAGATACTGTACTAAACTCTTGGAAACAAAATAAATAACGGATATGGCTTCTACTCTTATTTGCTTTTGTGTGTGCCCTTCGGCATTTCACTTCATCTCTTTCAGTTTATACACATAAAATATAGTCTTGGAACACAGATTAAATGAGATTAAATAAGACTACGTATGTAACAAATATACCATGGAATTTAAAGTAAAAAAAAATTAACAAATGATCAGTATAAAAATATATTTTAAAATGTTAAGTCTATATCAACCTTATTTTATCTTATATTATAATGTTAGATGTAGCAATGAGGAAAGAGTTTACAAACTGCTAGTTCCCAAAATTAAAACTAGTATTAGGAGTTGTCATGGCACAACTCTTTACTGAGTTGTTTCTTGAAATAAGATTCATGTAATTAACAGAAGAAGTTGTTTTACTATTTTTGGCAAATGCAATCTAAAAGATGGTCTATATCAATTAGAGCTACAAAAAGGAATAAGACCACAGGTAATAGGAATTTGCTGTTGTTCACTCGAGATTATTTTAGAAAGTATACTTCTTGGGGGAACATTACTTTCCTCTGAAATTTTACTACAGAATAAAATTTTCTACAAGATAAGACCCTTTTGTTCTAATTTCATTTCTGGAATTAGAAAGTAACTTTCTGAGTAGCAATACATTCCAAAAACTCTTATTATCAGTTAACCTGGATATGGACAAAAATGCCTCGGTTGCTGGAAATTTATATATCCCCAATAAAAATGACTAAATTATTCTGCTACTTGAGTAATACTCAAGGAAACTAACAAAATTAAGTTCCAACACTCAAAATAAATACTCCAAATGGTCTTCATAAGGCAGTCATTAAGGGAAGAACAATAAAATTTAATTATTTTAGTACAAACACTTCATTTAATAAGAAGTAACTGTTGCACTAAGGTTGTGATCTACTAACCTAATTAATGGCAGAAGTAACAACTGGGTCTTCTAATTCATTTTTTGTGTATTGAAGTCAATATTTTAAATTAACATACTATGTGGTCTTACAGAGAGATTAGTAATTTGCTAAAACAAGAAACAAAACAACAATTTTAATTGCATGGTGAGGCAGCTTAACTGGTTAGAACACTAGATCAACAAGGCCAAAGTCCAAGGCTTAAATTCCAAATAGGCTAATATGTTTTTCAAAATAACATTTCTGACACATGTTGTTAAAGAAAACTCTTCACTGGAAGGGCACTGGGGTAGAGTTGGAATCAAACCAAACTAAGGGTAAACCATACCAAAAAAAAAAAAAGCTGCTTTTTCCTTTTCAACATAGAATTATCGTTTTGTAAACTACATATTCAAATAACAAACGTTGCTCATGGAGAATTAGTGCTTGGCTTCAGACCTAAAACAGACCAAATGTGGTATTATGCACTACTCTGAAGAGCTAACAACAGGTCTGTCCAGATGCTAACACCAGGAACTTCGAAATTTCCATCCTGCGCCTTGTAAGACTTGAGCGCAGTTAGAACCTCATCTTTCAGAGGTGGGGGTGCCTGGCAGAGGTTTTGAAATCTAGTGTACAACTCCTCCCAGGACACATCTTGAGACTCAGCTCCAACCCAAATGCCTTTCTGAAGGTCGTAGTGCAGACGTTGACTCCAGTCAGCTAGCACACTCAGATAGGCATGAGAAAGTGCTGGGTAGCGACCTGCCACCAAAGTCAAAAGACCCGCTGGGACGTTGCGACAAAAGGCAGCCATGATTTCCGACTTCCCCAGAAGCCAGTGGAGTAGCTCTTGACTCCCCTCTCCAAGAATTCTAGGGCTACACAGTTTTAACTCCTCTCCCTGGGGCTGGGGAGACATGGGAGGCTCCAACAGCGCCACCGCTATCACTTTCAGGAAGTTGTTCTGCGGCAGGCGCTCCCACAGGCTGCAGAGCAAATTGCTGGGGCCTCCCGCTTCGGTTTTGCCCACCTCCTGCAGACGCTCCAGCAGCAACTCAGCCTGGGTCTTCATCAGTGAGTCGTCCTGAAGATTCGGGTTCTCCCTGCAGATGTTGAAGCGCAGCATGTGGACCGCAGACCCGCGGCGAGCGAGGCTGGCCAGACTGTCTTGGAGTAGTTCCCTATCGGCATCCCGGACGCCCGCGCCGGGAAAGAGTTGCTGCAGCAGGTAGCGACAAGCTGCATCCCCCAGGGCCGGGTTCTTCAGCAGGCGCAGAGAAAGCAGGATGTCACAGTGCCCAAGGGCCTCAAAGTTCCTCAGTCCGGGGACTGGACCCACCCCAAGGCCGCCTTCCTTCCACAAGCAGTGCAACCGCCTTTCCAGAGTTGTGCGGATGTGGTCATGGCTGCGGAAACGCTGGTAGACGTGGCGCAGGTAGCGAGCCCACTGTAGAGCCCTTCGTACAGTCGCTGGGTCCCAGGTGCTAACGTGGGTGGTGCGGGAGACCGCCAAAACCTCAGAAAAGCGCTCCAGGTGCTGCAGAAGCGGTTCCATGTGGCGCGCCAAAATCTTACTTCCGCTTTCACCTTGGAGACGGCGACTCTCTGCGCGCTGATTGGAGCGTCCATGAAATGATACGCCCCTCTGCCACACTATTGGACAAAGTTTATGTCAATCTTACGGCGGCTTTATCCGGGTTCCTTGAATCTGGGAAACTTACACTGGAGAAAAGTCCTGAAGTTTTTGCTTTTTCCAGTTATGGAAAAGGCTATTAGTGGGAAGCGAATAGTTGTGAGGCATTCATATTGACAGTTCCTGGACAGATGTTCAAAACGCTGCGCTTCCTTTCGTTTTGGAAATATCCCTATGCAGAAATTTTCTGAGATTTTCCTGAAGGAGGGATCTGTATTGAGGCTTATCATAATTAGGTAATGCCAGAGACATGCTGTTTCAAGTGAGGAAACGTTATTGAATGAAATTTTAATATCAATTTGAAAAATATATTGGTCTTTTTTTTACTGGTTCTCTGCTAAATTCTGGGGCTTCACGTTGTTCTTTCATTATTAAAACTGAAGCCTAGGTTAATTGAAAGAAAAAAGTCAACTTCAAGAATAATACTTTGTTGAAAATTTTAAATGAATTTAAAATTTTATTCCAAAATTACACTATCATTGTTTTTTAATTTCCAGAGCAAAATAGCTCTGATGACTCTTACTTCACAGAAATAATCAGCTGAAGGAAATGCCATTTAAAAATACAAATAAATGTTTGCCTAAAGATTTCCAGAACAGAGAGAGGACCCATTATTGGGTGTAATTAAGATTATCTATTCATTGATGGGTTTGACAAATACTCATTTTGCAAACACCTAGGAGTTTATTGTTTTATTGTTTATTGTTCACAAACCCACAACAGTTTTAAACATAAGCTAATGATGTATGTAATAACTCATTAGAAAAGAATTTCCTTCCAGTCCTAAAACTCTAACCAATACTATTCTAAGAAGTGGGCAAAAGGTGTTGTGTTTTTAATAAATAAGGGAAAAAGAAATTTAAAAAGAATAATAATTTTTCATTTATTAAAAGAAGCATTCCAGCACCTTTTAAAAAATAAAGCAGTGGTGTTCATAATGATAATTCAGTTTTATTTGATTACTATCTATTCCAACACTTACTTGGTCCTAAAAGTAGTAATTTTACCCTAAGTATATCATTACTTTTAAAGTCCTTTGTCTTAGCTACTAGAATTTAGATCTAAATCTGCAGCCCACCTTTATCAAATGTGTAGGCATCAGTAATTACTTCATTCTCACTTCAAAAAAACATGTGTTCTTCAGGTCTAAAGGGGCACAAAACCATTTAATTATAAAGCAAATCAGATTTTGTGTACTTTTTTCTTAGACACTTCATAGGGGATTAATACTAGGTTTAGGTCTCAAAGTGAACAGTAATCAAAGAAAAATTCAAGTGACAGAAATATGAAAGTAAACATGAGGATATGGATGTGTATAAGAGTGCTGTTAAAACTAGGAGCAATCTCTCACCTTTTGGTTACAATCTCTAAATACGGTAAATTAGTACAGAGAATATAAGGCCAAACATTGGGATATTTTATCAAAATAAGCTGTCATTCAAACCATGGAACTTGAGTAACATAAACAACTAATAAAAGAAAGCATTCTAAAGGAACCTACTTTTTAGGCCCTGGGAAGAATTAAATGAGGCCATAAACATATAACAGTGGATTTTGTGGCCGCCTGTTACTATCATTCTACTACCACCACTGTATAATATCCATGCAGTTTGGGATACTGATCCCAGCTCAGCTCAATGGTAGGGCCTGATAATTTTGAGCCAGCCATGTTAATCCATCCCTCTGTTAACTTAGTAATTAATTTAGAAACTTACCATTAAACCTATACATGTGTAACATTCCCTTATGGCAGAAATTTGTTCAGTAATGGGCAGATAGATCAGTTCCATTCAAGTAGAGGATTCAGAGAGAGCTGTTTCTTACTTCAAAGTCCATGCAGATAAGCACTGATGAATATGAATAGATACCCCAAAGAGACTGTGTATATTCACGCATGCTCATGAAATAAGTTCTCTCTTCTTGGTGTTATTATATATGGATATGGAACCTAAAGCCACCATTGCATCTTCCCCAAAAGGCCAAGATAATCTCAAGAGCAAATAAGAAAAATTAGATCAATGCAGCCTATATTCTAAACCCATTTAGGTTTGTGAAACCATAGTGCTTGTACTAATACAAACACTTTAGAAAAGTTTGTGATACACACAAAAACGCTGGCTATTGTTGTTACTGTTAAAATAATGAAACTTCCAAATACACAATTCCACATATCTATTTCTAATCCTACTCCTTCCAAATATAAAACAGTAGTCACCAACATCATTCTGGGAAATGGTGGAGGAAATTTTATCAAAGATGAGGTTTGCTGAGGGAACATTTATTCCTGCTTTTTGAAAAGCTTCTAATAAAATTTAGCTCAGTGTAATTATAACTTAAAAACTGAGTTGATCTCAATCTTTAAGTTATGTGTAATTCCAGGGTTATTTTAGACACACAATAAGTCAAAATTATAAGACATTATGTAACTGAGATATCAATGAAAACAAAATATTCTGATGTCTTTTTATTCTACTCTGAACAATATTATACCAGAGTTTTCTTTCCACAATTGTAGCTATGTGAGGTCAACCACTGTTGGAAGATATTAAATGGAACATTTCAGAAATAAGCAATTTACAAGTTTAAAATTGCCTGCTATTCTGAGAGTATGATAAAATCTCATGCCATCTGCTTTGTTGGGCTTAGGATATGAATCTTCCTTTGGTCCATTGTATTTATCCTATATTTGCTAACCTTCTCCCCCATTTCTCACTTGTTCATTGTAATATGGGAGGCTAGAGTCATTGCTGAGATGGAGAGAAGTCTAATAATCCACCCTGTGGTGCTTTTGTGGATGCACACCACCACCAGAACATCTGCTCAGTGGCTAGAGTGGGGATGCCTTGCAACCTAACATGGGCATGCAGGCCCAAGAAGTTAGTGACTATCCTGGAATTGCAGTGCTGATGTTCAAGTAACACTTAATTTACTTAATCATGAGCCAGGGCATGTGAATAGTGAAGCAAAGATTAAAACATGAAAAAGCAGATTAACTCTACTACTAAATAAAAAAAGCTGCCGTACAAATAGAAAACAAAACAGTGTAGATGGTGTTAAGCACTACCTTTGATTTTAGGCATCCACTGGGAACCTTGGAAAATATCCCCCATGGATTCAGACATCATCACACTAAATTCAACCCTCTGCTTGATAAAATAACATTTTTCCAATATGAACAAATACAAATGAACTCCTTACTTTTAGGCAGGATAGACAATAGAGGGCTTTGCCATCATTCAGGAATCTGTGTCAGAGCAGGAAAATATTTATCCTTTTGTAATCACTCTCAGAGCATATATGGGCAGGGAATACACTTGACTTCAGGTTCATCACCTCACTCAAATCAGGGGTAAGAGCAAGACTCTAGTAGCAATAATAAAGAGCAAGTGGGCAGGCTTTTTGCGAGATTTCTTGTAGAAACGTTATAAACATTTACTGTTTTGGAGAGACAATGTAAATTACCTTTCTAAAAAATGAGAATAAAATTCTTAGGAGAATTTACTTCAGTAAAATCACAACTTCATTTCATTTGTTCCACTTACAAAAGAGGTAAAAATCAACCAATAAATTACAATGGATTAAGGACTTTAGGCATATAAAGAAGAATCTGATGACTAGGTTTCCAGCCTTATATTCTATAATATTACAACCTGTCTCTTATCAGACTGCCTTGTGTTACATGTCACATGGTATTACGACTTAATCAAACTGTAGAACCCCATTTGAAACCTTCAAAATATTAAATTTGCATACCTAATAGAGAGATGAATATCATATTTACCTTTTATATCTTTAGAATTGTTTTCAGAAGGTTTGTAAGAGACTTAACAAATATTTCTCTGGCTACTGAGTTTCTCAATCAGTGCATAGTAGAAAAGATTGTGTCTTAAGTACTGATCTCCTTTGATTTTGGAACATAGGAAGGAAATCTGGGAGGCCAGAGCCATTCCTGAGATGGGAAGAGTTCTGATAATCCATCCTCTGGAGCTTTCTTGTATATGCACCACTGTCTGGACAGCCATTCCGTGGCTAGTGTGAATATATGCTGCAGCCCAACAAGGACAAGAGGCTCATGAAGTTTGTGAGAGTCCTTTATGCTCAAGAAAAACAGGGGAGACCCACATAAATTCAGAGAAAAGAGGTAGAGGAGGGACCAAAAAAGTGGGTCATCTTGTGGATACAGGTCTATGTGATGATTGCAGATCTGTTTTTGTAAATTTAAGACAGAACTTCCTAGTTTAGAGTGTGTGATTTTGGTCTTAAAGTTAGCATCAGAAAAACTGTTTTATCATTACGTACAAATTCTGAAAATTAGAATTCCATCAACATATCTAATATTACGTATTAGATATTTGAAATATCTAATATGTAAAAGTTTTGTTTGGAATTGAAATTTATTTGCATCAGCAGAGTAATATTTAATCTTATATTATCTTTATAGTGACTGAAAAGAAGAACATTTATTTAATTATAATTTATCTGATTATAATTTTACGATTTATAAGAAATATTACAATTTTTGAATGGCTTTATAGCTATTAAAAATGGTTTTGCCAATTTTATCAATAACATTTCTGGTCAACAGTGATTCTCAAGAATATGAAGAGAACTTTGTTCAAAAGTCTTGCTCAGGAATTGTGATTGACCATTTAAAACCTAAAAGTTACTATTAAAATTACATTTGTGAAGAAGCTTGATTATTTTCTTAAAAATACAAAGTTTTAAATTTGGAGAAATTTCATATAAATTCAACATTTATTCATTTTTTTTTTACTTTTATTTTTTGGCAGTGCTAGGAAATGAACCTTCATGCATACCCTACTTGAATTCCACCACTGTATCACATCCCTAGCCCCTTACATTTAATATTTCAAATATTCTTTATTCATGCTATCATACAAAGTAATTCCAA